ACAAGTTTCCCTGGAATTCGTGATGTCTCCGATGATTGTGTACGCCTGGCCTCACCCACGCCCAATTTTCAGGCGTGGTACGGAACCGTCATGGCAACGTCGGAGTATTTGGAGTCGCGGATGTCATCGGGAGCCCGAGCGCAGACTTGGATCTCCGAATGGAGGCTCGCCAGATTGGCGCCAAACATGCCTACTGATCTCACGTCGGTGACAGTGCCCCTTAATGAGATATTCATGCGAGAGTGCGTCGCAGTCGTGCAGACGATGTTCTTCGAGGTCGGATTCAAGTTCCGTAAGCTAGTTCCGGAATTTTTTCGAGTGGCTACGCCCAAAGCTGAAGTGGACACTATGCGGAGGGTGACTGAGGAGTTGCAGCACCTCTTGACTGAAGAGCTCCTGGAGTGGCAGCAAGTCATTTCGGGAGTACAACGCCGAGTTGTGTATCCTTTGGATGCACGCAACTTGAATGATCATTCAGAAGAAATGAAACCGGAAGATGCTGAAGTTGATTCATTGATGTCGAGTTACCGGGGAGGGAATGCATGACGCGCTTGACGAAAGCCGGAGTCCGAGTGTATCGTAGTTCTGCGAGTTCATCACTTGGAGAATCTGAAATGAAGCACCAGCAGCACGCGCCGCCACGCCCGTCGTCCATTCCGTCGATGAGTTCGCTAATGTCTTATCGGACGTCGACTCAGGATGACCGGAGCATGGCTACCCCGAGCGATATGTCGGCCCCCGAAGTGGATCTCTTATGCCAAGCTCGGGTTATGGATCAACGCTTTTTGGAACCATGGTAACGGGTTCGGATGAGTCTAACCTCTCTGGGACGCTCGAATCCCGGTCATCTGGGAATGGTTCATCCTCGGCGTCCTCAATGTGGTCTATGACTGGAGGCGCCGCGCAGCACATGCAGTTTGCGCATGCCCTCCCAGCCGGAATGGTGTTTGCAGCCCAAGGAGATGTCATCCAATCTGAAAGCAGCCTGGGTGTCCAGGTAACTGAGGCTGTCCTCCCGGTGTCGCCGATGCCAGCCAATCCTGACGATGTCGGACTCGGGGCGGGCCATCATTCGGAGTGGTAACAGGTCGAGGGCATCTCGGAAGCACACCCTTAGACGAAGATCGAGCCCAAGTAACGATTCCCCGAGTGAATCAGAGTCCAGCGACGACGCTCGGAAAAACCGGCACTCGAGGCATTCAAGACGTTAATCCAGGCGGTCATCAAGTCAGTCGATCAAGTCGGAGATGACGAGCCGCTCAGGAAGGTCGCGCTAGTCGGCGACGTCAGGGGTGTCTCAGGTTGCCTTGAACGCGATGACGTCCACGCAAGACATGTTAGTCCGGATGGAGTCGAAGCAAGACACCACCCAGGCTCAGTTCAACCAGCGTGTGGACCAAGGGATCCAAATGCTGGCAGCTCCACCAGGTGTCGTTAAGAGTGCATCTGACCCGACTGTCTCATGCCGACCGCCGCAGTCCATACGCCGAGCGGACCGGCCGAGGCTGTACCAACCGACGCCATAAAACCAGTTCGAAGAGCGCTGGCAGTGACGCGAAGCGGAGGCCGAGAAGGCGAAAGAGTCCTGAGTAGCCGACCTACAGAACAGCCTGAATGACCAGTGGGAATCCGTGATGAGTGCTCAGATGCAACGTCTGCAAGAGGAGATAACTTCCTCGAAGGAGGCGCGCAATCAGGACCAGGAAGCTATTCGAACCCAGAAGAACGTTCGCGAAACAAGTTCAAGCAACATTCGTGCAACATCGACATAAGTTCAAAGTATCCGTTCGACAAGTATACCAACGATCTGGTTACGCGATCAAGGATGGTGTGGCACATAGCCAGAACACATCTGGCGACAATGCCTTTGCGGCTCAGCTGCAACTGACTCTCCCGAGTGTGACTGAAACAAAGTAGGCGAAGGGAGATGCCCCAACAAAAGAGGAACAATGATCCAGGATCAGAAAGACGAGCGGCTCCCGAGTGAAATCACGACAGACGGAAGAAAAGTCGACGGGAGTTGCGAGGTCGGAAGACAAGGAGCCGTCGAAGAAGGAACCACGCAACAATCATTCGCGCTGCGATGCAGACCCCTTAGGACCTAGCTCGAAGTGCGAGGCCAGCGAGGAGGACGACAGCTCAAGTGACTCCGACAGCTCGTCGGACGGCATGCCATCCTATGCAACCATGGTTACCAACGTTAAAGGAGGAAATATGCTACGTTCACCAACGTACACTATGATTTCGACGAGAAGCAGTCCCTGACGGCACGTTGCCGATGGTGGGAGAAGTTCCTGAACATGACGGTCCAGGCTGGTTGGACTGAACAGATGAAGATATACGAGTTCAAGACGAAGATGTCGCCCGCCGCCCGAAACTGGATGGTTCAGCTGGGGAAACGTGTGCGCACGGACTGGGGACGCCTTGCTCGAGAGTTCAAGAATATTACAAGTCCCTAGTGTCTGATTCGGAGAAGTACTATACGATGAAACAGCCCTGGTATTCCTGTACCGCCTGAATCTAGCTGCCGAGCGAGCAGATGTCAAGTTCAGGAAATCTGAACGTCGACGCGAACAACACATCAAGCGGTTCATCAAGAACCTGACGGACATGCCGCTCAGATCAACACTGCATCGTCAGAGGTTCTACAAGGTGTCCGGCCTGGAGTACGTTCTGAAGCAACAAGAAGAGGTGATCGCGAGCGGTAGCTATTCCACCCGGTCGTCTCCCAATCGCGATATCAGAGCATACAACGTCACCCGAGGCGGAATGAGATCGCAGAACGCGAACCGAGCTTACGTCCCTCAGGACGATGAGAACTCGGATGTCGAGCTTCCAACCCAGATGGAGCGAGATGTGGATGAAAATGATGTTGCCCTCCAATAACTGCCCACCGCAATTCAGGATGCCCAGATTCCTGACAACCCGAATGGGATGTTCTTGAGCAAAGAAGACTTAATTCACGAGGTATATCGCATCATGAACAACGTGGGATGGAAGCCAGTGAACCCGAATGCCGGCAGTGGTCCGAATGCGAATCCCACACCGCCGGCAGTCGCCTGTGCAGCAAGCTGCGTTTCAGGGATACCAGTCTTACAACAACCCGGATCGATTGGAGTTTTGCGAGAAATACAAGAAGTTTGAACATTGCCCGGAGAAGTGGAGGACTGATCTAATATGTGGACGATGCCACAGACGCGGACACCCATCTCGAAGTTGTGCGCCCAGGTCGTGCCCAAAGTGTGAAGAATATCACGATGGACGATGTGAAGAATGGAAAGCTTTCCAAGAGATCAAAAGGCTCGTTCTTCAAGGAGATGTAGCTGACTTGCCTAGCCATGGAGGCCATCCTGAATGGCAAGGACGATTCTGAGGAAGTGCAGTTAAACCTCTAAGCCCGCCGAATGGGGATTCGGTACGCGTCGGGCTGAGAGAACCCTCAGAATTGTGTGTATTAGCGTATGTCGGCCCCGAATTGAGGATCAGGAACCAAGATAACCCACAATGTATGACCTCCATGCTTCATGATGAACCTTTTTCTTTGGATATTCGACAAAGTTTTTCAGGACTACCATTGCCTCTGGGACCTGAAGGTAAACCTGAATACAAATTAAACCCCGGGGAACGGTATGGTTGGTGGGTCGAGAATAATCGCAAATAAGGAAAGACGTCAATGTGCTACGGCTCATGGAGCAGTGAACAATTTCAGGACGCAGATACTGCTTGACACCGGAGCAAGTGTGAGTATGATCAGTTTGAACCTTGCGCGTATGGGAGGATAGCATCTTCGACCCGGAGAACATGCAAATGTGGTTATCCGATATGGACTATGTCGTCCGCTCCAGGGTGTTGTATGGGCAGAACGAGGTGATCAGTGGATCATCCAAATTGTTTATGGCGCACGATCGTGGGCTGTAGCAATAAAAGTGGTCAACCTTTCGGACGGAGGCTGTTGGATCGAGCCTAGGACACCCGTTTCTCGGATTGCGGAGTATGGGGACATCCCCATAGTTGGACAGTTCGTACGCCCTGGGTTACGAAGGTATATGGGATGGCAACAGATTATTCAGGAGAACACATTCTCCGCGAAGGCGAGGGTGCGACAGGAAGCGTATGAACAAATGCTTCGGGATGCGGCGCCGCCTGCAGTAATTGCCTCAAATACAAATGGCCAACGAAGTTACTAGTGAGGCCAAGGGAACCCGAGCGAGCCCAGGTTACGAAGGTTGTGGAAGAGTTCCAACCGCAAGGAAGCATCGACGTCATGGAGTATGCTGGGGATACTGCACTTGGGGCGTACTCCCTGAGCGTGATTGGTTCACTCATGGCTGTTGAAGTTTCACCCGACGATGTCACCCTGGACGTCAATGCCCAGGGCAGTGGAGATGTCGTCATTTCGGAACCCTGAAACGAAGTCTATGATGATATGGCTAATGCTTCTGAATGCGACGCTTTTCAGGGTGCCCCAAGCATGGAAGACGAGGATTTTGAGATACCTTCTTCCGCTATTCCTGGAACACCACTCGAACGACTTCACGGAGCATATGCGAGTGAGTGTTGAAGAACTCGATTTGGAACCAGCAGTTTATATTCGCGAATGGAGTGAGCTTATGTCTCAGTTGAAAGATCAATTGGTTATACTACCCGACTCGGACGATCTCTCTCCTGAATGTGATATTGAGGTCCCCGACGTTGGAGAACCTTGTGAGAGTACAGAAGCTCAGGAGAAGCAGTTGAATGCCGTCCTGAAAAGGCACCGGAAGATCTTCTTAGGTGATGCAAATGCTGCTCCGCCACCAGCGAGAGGAGTTATTTGTGATCTAGCCGTGGGCGACGCCAAGCCAGTAGCACAACGACCCCGATCGGTCGGTCTGCACTTGGCAATCACGGTGTACAAGTGATTGAAGAAGCTTCTGGAAGCTACCCTGATCGAACACTCTGAGTCGCCATACTCTTCCCCAATTGTGATCGTGCTCAAGAAAAACTGAGTGGATAATCGAATGTGTATCGACTATCGGGTCGTGAACAGCTTCATTCAATTGTCGAACTACCCACTACCGCTGTTTGATGACCTCATCACTGGTTTCGAAGGAATGATGTGGCTTATGAGTCTTGACATGGCGAGTGGTTTTTGGGCAGTCCGAATGACTGAGCGGGCTAAGCTGATCTCGGCATTTTCTTGCCCATTCGGGCACTTCCAATGGGTACGTATGACATTCGGGTTGAAAACGGCCCGCTGATTTACCAGCAGATGATCAAAAATTGTCTATGAGGATTCGTGCGGGTAGCACCCGAAGAGGAAACACTTGAGGATCAGGACGTGCTAGACTACTTGCGTTTGAACCCTCAGACCCCACGTGTCGAAACGAATGCATAGCGCAGTATGACACCACTAGTGGAGCAAATGACGGTTTTCAGGCGTAACATTCCCGCACCATCCCAAATGGGGCCATTCTTGGGGCGCAGTTCGTATATCGATGACATCGCGCATGGGGCGGCCACGTGGGATCAACTATGCGGCGACCAGGATGCGTTGGTCTATCTGTTACGGTAGTGGAGTATCTCAGTCAGTTTGCCTAAAAGCGTATTCGGGAAAACGTGTCATATCGTACCTCTCTCACGAGATTGGTGCTGAAGGGATACGTGCTACCCCGAAAATCGTGAAATGTATTCAGGAGCTACAATTTCCGTCTACCCTGATAGGAGTCCAGTCGTTCCTAGGCAGCCTGAATTACTACCACAAATTCATTGAGGATTATGCCGTGGTAGCTGCTTCACTCTATGAGTTGACAGATGATCAAGTGCGCGCCGGGCGAGACTTGTCTCGAACGAAGGAATCCTTTGAGATCCTGAAGAGGAAGATGGTGTCTACACCTCAACTCAGACATCCGGATCGAACAAAACCTTTCGTGATTATCCATCATGCAAATCCGTGACTGCTTGTCCAGTTCTCGGACAGATGCATGACGGGCTTGTTCAACCTGTCCGATTCACGGGGCGCGTCCTGAATGACGCCGAGCTCAAGTATCATATCGCTGAGAAGGAAGTTCTGGCTGTGATGCGGGTTCTCCATGTGTTGAAGAACCTGATCGAAGGATGTCCTCTGATAATCTACGCCCGGCATTCACTGTTGAAGTGGGTCATCAATTCCAAGACGGCCGAAGGACGTCTAGTGCCATGGGTCGTTGTTCTCTCACAATATGACTTAGAAATTCGGAAGGTTTGTCGAGGTGAGGATGGAGTAGCCGTCATTGTGGGCGCAGGCATTACACCCAGGGAGCACTTGGATAAAGTCGCCGAAGTACTCATTCCAGCCAAGGGGCGCGT